GTTTCTCAGAAGGATTGGATTAAGAAATCTTTTTTGGACTATTATCAAAAGTTATATAAATCTACTAATGTGCAAATTTTAGATATAAATAGATATCTAAGTGAGGTTAATTTCCCTAGATTGACAGAGGACCAGAAATATGAAATTAATGGGATAATTACTAAGGAGGAAATTGCGTCTGCAATTTAACTACTGAAATCAGGGAAAGCACCGGGTACAGATGGGTTAACAGCTGTTTATTATAAAGCTTTAATGGAGGAGATGATTCAACCATTAGGTGATCTTTTTAATGGTATTCTACAGGGTTCAGAGATCCCTCCTTCATGGCGTAGTGCCTTTATATCACTGATTCCAAAGGAGGATCAAGATCTTACTTCACCAAAGAATTACAGGCCTATATCTCTTTTAAATGTGGATTATAAGATATTTGTTAAAATTTTGGTAAACAGATTGATGAGGGTTGTGCCTTACCTTGTGCATAAAGATCAATCTGGGTTTATAACTGGAAGGTACATGAAAAATCATTAATGTATTAGAATATTTAGATAAGAACAACCAAGTCTCTGCAGGGCTGATATTTTTAGATGCCGAAAAAGCATTCGATCAATTGAATTGGCATTTTATGTTAAGAGTAATGGAAGAGATGAATTTTGGTGAAAAGATATTACAAGCTCTTACGGTAATCTATCAAAAACAAACGGCGCAACTTATTGTTAATGGAGGTTTGTCAGAGGTTTTTACAATAGAGAAAGGTACTAGGCAGGGATGTCCATTATCACCATTGTTGTTTGTTTTAACATTGGAAATATTGTTGATTAAAATTCGAGAGTCGCAGGAAATTAAAGAAATAGAAGTTAATAAAAAAGAATATAAGTTAAGAGCCTTTGCGGATGACTTGGTTGTTACTTTGTTGCAACCTGTTCATTCTGCAGTAAAGTTATTACAGTTGATTCATTATTATGGTCTGGTCTCGGGTTTTAAGATTAATGTTAATAAGACTAAAATTTTACCTAAAAATATGACTAGTCAGGAGAAGCAGACTTTGGCTAACTCGACGGGTTTTGAAATTGTTAATAAGGTAAAATATTTGGGGGTGATGTTATCTGTTTCTAATGCAAAACTATTTAAAAATAACTATGAAAGGTTGTGGGCTAGGGTACAGAATGACTTGAAGAATTGGGAGAAGTTGCAATTATCCCTCATGGGAAGAATTGCAGTGATAAAAATGAATATTCTACCCAAGTTTCTCTTTTTGTTTCAAATGTTACCGATTTTGAAGAATGAGATTAATTTAAGTGAATGGCAGAAAGGCCTTAATAAATTTATTTGGGCAGGGAAAAAGCCAAGGGTTAAGTTTAAAATTATGCAAGACTTCCGCGAGAGGGGTGGGCTCAAGGTACCGAATTTGAAACTATATTATGATGCGGTGGTTTTAACACTAATCAGTGACTGGGTAAATTTGACAAATCCTGAGATACTTTATCTCGAGGGATGGGATTTACTTTTTGGGTGGCATGCCTATTTAATATTTAACAAAAAGATGAATCGGGTTTTTAAATCTCATATTTTAAGAACTTCTTTACTTAGGACTTGGAGAAAATATTATAAAAGTGATTTTAAAGTACCATTATGGGCTATACCTTGGCATGCGATAGAAGGAATAAAAAGAGGTGCTAAAATGGACATGGTGTCTTATAGACATTTACTTAGGTGGGATGGACAAAACTGGCAGTTAAAATCACGTGAAGAGTTAGCACAAGAAAATATTATTTACTCTTGGTTCCAATATAGGCAATTAGCAGATAGATGGAAGGTGGATTGCAAGGTGGGCCTTCTTAGAGAAGATGAAAATTTTATTAAGCAAGTGAAGGATCAAAGACAAGCCCACATTAAGAGAATTTATGGGGTTCTAGTTGAATTGGACTCAGAAACGGAACTAATTAAAGATTGTATGATTAGATGGGCGCAGAATTTTGGTGAGCCAGTTCCATTGGACACCTGGGAAACTATTTGGGTGAGAAATGTCAAATTTACACAAGCACAGAATTTAAGGGAGAATTTCTATAAAATGTTTTATAGATGGCACCTTGATCCACAAAAAATGTCTTTTATGTACCCTGACCTACAACCTAAATGTTGGAGATGTGGGTGTATGGATGCTACTTATTATCATATTTGGTGGTCGTGTAGAGAGATAAAAGCATTTTGGATTAAGATATGGTGGAATATCCAGAGAATTTTTAAAAGGAGGGTAAAATTTACTCCGCAATTATTTCTGTTGGTATAGTTATTGATTGTGATACAAAGGAGGTTATATTGATGTTAAATTTGATTACAGCCGCGAGGCTGTTAGTTGGACAATATTGGAAGAAGGAATCTTTGCCTACATTGCAGGAATGGTTTCTTAAAGTGTCTTATTTGGCGGAAATGGCAAAGATTTCGGCTTTCTTAAAGCAACAAACGCAAGAGAAATTTCTTGCTGTTTGGGATAAATGGATAAAATTTATACAGTTTAAAATGGATATTAAAAATATTATATAGCTTTTTCTTAATTTTTATTTTTATATATATACATATATATTTTAAAATATAATTTTTTATTGTTTTTTAATTAAGCCTATATTCTGCTCTGGGAAGCTCGGGGGGGGGGAGAAGGGGGGGTGTTTGGGGGAGGTTGGGGAAGGGAGGGTTTGTTGTGTAATGTTTAGTTTTTTTCTTTGTATATGTTTTTTGTCTTTGTATTGTTTTGTTTTTTTCCTTCTTTTTTGTAAAACTTATAAAACTTTTAATTAAAAAAAAAACTGAAATGAGAATTTCCCCACCCCACTAATGAAACTTATTAATTCATGTTTAGCAGATCTGTTACATGTATATCTGCCTCGTGAGCCAAAATATAAACTATGTTTAATATTTCTCTTCTGACTCTCACTCCAAGACCTGTTCTATTAAAAAAGCACCTTTAAAATATAAACCTTATATTCCTAAATGATATTATTTTCCTCCTCAAAAGACATATTTCAGGATCTTTAGCGTTGCATGATCTAATGCACAAGAATATCACAGGTAGTCCCCTTTTACCAATGCAATTGGGATTGGTAATTCAGTCATTAACTGAAATGGTTGTTAAATGAAAAGTCATGTGACCACTACTGTGCTTATGATTTTAATTCATTTTTCCTTTCCTTTATAGCATCAGAAGGATATGACCCCAAACTGCTAGGTGAATCCAAATAGGAGGAAAGCTTCCAGAACTTACAGGGAAGTTGGTTAAAGAGAAAATTTTATAGTCCTTTTTTCATACTCCTGTGCCCTTACCCCCCTAGTGCTTACCTCTGCACTAGAATAATTTACAAGAAGAGAATTAATGAATTTATTTACATTTATTGTAGGGCACACATACATCAAGCTATACATTAGCACTTTTTAGGGATCTGCTGAGCTGAGGATAAAACAGCTTGGGAATAGATTTCTTGTTTAGGCAATATCTTCATTCTGCAAGGGAGAGAAAAAGAAGAAAAATCAAGTGAGACACACGGCTGTGCGTACTAACTGATTGAATTGGAGTATGTGTGTGAGAGAGACAGAGATACTGTGAATGTCCTAAATGTGGGCACTAGCAAAAATACATGAAAAGCCTTAAATGTTTTTGGACAAAGTAAGATTTAATATAATTATGTAAAATAGACGAGTTCCAATTTAGTGCTTTGACACTAAAGGTAAAGAAAGCGAAATCCTTCAGGGAAAAGGAAGGAAAATCCCACTTGAGTGCAATTTTCCTTTTCAATCCAGCTTCATCACTTTCTCAGAAGTGTCTCATTCAGAAACAGTGCTGGAGACCATCTCTCCTTTGATGAGAAGAGGAGGTTATTAGTTGGAATGGACATTATGAACTGGATTACTTCCTCAAATCTATCCTTTCATGGAAAGAAAATTGGCAGAATGGGTCATGGAACTTCTTAAAATATATGAGTTCCAGTTTAGTGCTCTGGCTTTACAGTGACAACAATGCAACCCACCCCAACTAATAAAACAGCATGGGCAACACCATTTTAAGCAAGGGACACTTCTAACAATTTTGTTTTGACTATGTACTTTGCTCAGTGAAGCAAAATGCCCTTGTTAAACCTAGTAAGTCCTAGTTTTATTTTGTCAGTTCCAATGAGTGTTTGGATTGAAGATTGGAACAAAGGCATTTAAATTATAGAAGTAAAGCACACATTTGCCTTTAAATGATGATAGCATTGATAGGAATGATAGGATGAACAAGATAAGAATGATTAGATTTGAGACATTAGATCCAAGAAAGCTGAAGGAAAGAAATGGGGGCTGCCTTAGTAAGCCTTCCACAGTTTCACTGAGGTTGGTTTAAAATGCTGATGACAATGCTGGTGAAGATGATGAAAGGGCTAATGGCAAGGGCCCACCCCAAAGTGTTGATATGTATTATAGCTGCAGTCATTCAAGTATTTTAGATATTTAAGAATTACTGCTCTAAATGTTTGCCTAATTTCTAATGTCTACATTTGTCTCCAAGAAGATGAAAAATAGCTCTTTGAAGTGATGCAAGATAATAGAAATAAAGTCTGCCACAAAAAAATCTTATTTACAGGTTGCATAAGTTGTAATAAACTTTCAAGGAGAAGACAACAAAAACATTTTTAGCAATGCTACAGAGGATTCGCCAATTCTAGATAATTTATCCAAGACCTATAATTATTTCTCTGCTATCCAGTCTCTGTGCTGTCAAATATCAAACTTGTTGACAAAAATAAAAGTATATATGTGTGTGGTTAGACATAAGTGCACCTTTCTGAGTTTACATATTGTATGTATGTATATTTTCAGTCAAATCTCACCATTGCTTTCATAGAGGTTTTTAATGTCTGTAATATTTGTGTTAGTTTAGAGGTCAATTTCTACTTAGTATGTTGATAGTAGTAGTGTTACTTTTTCTCCTACTGCCTCACATGGCATGGCAGAAAAAAAATAATTGTCAAATTATGGATCATCATTTCATTTTTCACAAGTATCTTCAACCAGGGGATCTACTCTTGGGTGGCCTTGTTTCTCATACCTTCTTTGTCTCCAGTCCAAAACTTTTTGATGAACCACCACCTCCAACATACTCTGAAAGCTACCTGTAAGGAATTGGGTTTGCATTCTGTATGCTTCTGAGCAGAATGATATGTAGAAGAGCAGCTTGATGGGTATGGTTTATTGCAGCAAGGAATGGAGTAGATTATATTGCTGAAATTGAGTACAGATTGCAAATCTATTTTTGCTCCCCTACTTCTACAAGGAATATTAATTATATAGCTGGTGCTTAACATATGCTTAATTAAACCCAAATGTTACATACTTAGTTCAGTCAATGTAAAGTTAGGTACTCAAGTAGATAAATGATCAATAAGGCATGTTTAACTTTCAACTAGGGAATTTAGTTTCATTCATTTAGACCTAGATTCTCTTAATTCAATTTTTTGTTTAAAAGTTAAAATTTTGAAAACACAATATGTTTTTCCAAAAAAAGATACATGATTATTCAGTTTCTCTCACCATAGTTTCCTCTTTATATATTTGTGATAACTTTTGAATTTTTTCTATGATAAAAATGGAATAGATATATAAGAAACTTAAAACCATCAGATTGTGTGTGTGTGTGTGTGTGTGTAAAGTTTAATTTAACTCACAATCATTGATCAGAGAATTCACATGTCTCATCTAAATTTCTTGGCAATTGTGTAGAATGAATCCATCCTTGCCTTCCTCTAATCTTTAGGTCTTGGGTTCCCTGATAGCAGCCTTTTGTGTAGGTTGGCCAATATTAGCTCCCCACTAATGGAACAGAGGTATATCAACTGACATATTAATGAATTCTAAAATCAATTGTGATGAAAGGAAAAAAGCAGGTATATTAGAAAATTATAAATCATGTCCTTAATCTGTAAGTTTTCCTTTGTTTTTAAAATACTCTGTTCCAAATATTTACTGATATACTGATTTAACTTGCTTTGGCTCTTCACAGTGAGGTAGTTTTGTTGACTAAATTTTGTTCCAAAAATCCTTCTTAAATTATAGCTTATAATTTTGTTGCTGAATTAGTTTGACACATAATGGAAATCCCACTGTAGGGTTATAACTCAGAACTACCAGCATATTCTTGCCTTGGTCTTTGCCATAAAGGAAATCAATGAAGATCCCCATATCCTACCCAATATCACCCTCGGATTCCATATCTATGATAGCCATAGCAATACCAGGTGGGCCTTTCGTTCTGCAATGCAACTTATTTCTCCAAAGAAGCATTTTCTCCCCAATTATCACTGTGATAGTAAAGACAATCTTCTTGCAGTGCTTGAGGGGCTTGATATTGAATCTTCTCATCATATACCACACATTTTTAGCATCTACAAGATTCCTCAGGTAGGATGTATGTTCAGTTTTAAAGATTATTTTTTCCCCTCCTGATGCTTTATGTAGTAAGGATAGATGTATTTTTAAATATATAGAACTTATTTGTATAGTAACAGAACTAATTTAAGAAGTGTCAGCTTAAAACATCTTTCATTGTTGCTAGTATAAAGTCATCTCACTTCATAATATTTAAAACTAATCAATATAAATATAAAATTAATTATTTTCTTCTCTACAAAGCCAGTTTGTTTAAGATGGCCCTAAAATTGATCATGATTTATTTATTCATGTTTTATAATTAAATTTATATGCTGCCCATATCACTGTTGGAGTGACTTTGGTTGGCCACTGTTATAAAAAGCTGCAATTTTCCTCAAAAGGAAAAATAATTGCCACATTTTTGTTCTGGACAATATTATTTTTCAACAATTAGTTCATTTACTGAAATGTTATCCCAGAGATACTACTACTACTACTAATAATAATAATAACAACAAGCAGATATACACATTAATCTTCCTTTGTCATTTTTTCAATTACCTTTCTATTTAGGTCTCCTATGGCTCTGCTCCAGAGAGGATGGATCAAACCCAATCCCCATATTTCTACCAAATGGTTCCAAATGAAGCCCATCAGTATAGGGCAATTCTTGAATTACTTCTCATTTTCAGGTGGACTTGGATTGGATTTTACACTGCAACTGGAATTAATCCAGAATGGATTTTTCAAGTTATGGTTCCAGAATTTGCCACTCATGGCATTTGCTTTGCTTTTATAGAGACAATCTTCAATGTAGGCATGGATATTGAATTTGGGGGTATAAAGAAATGGGCATTTACAATATGGGATAGAATCATGACCAGCACAGCCAATGTATTTCTCCTGTTTGGTGATCTTCGCACTTTTCTGGTTTTTGACTGGTTGCTTTCTATAGAACAAGACAGTGAGATAACAAACAATATAAAGGGTAAAGTGTGGATTTTGATTGCCCAGTTGGAGCTTAAAAACTATGGTAATGAAGAAAAACTGAAAGTTGCTAAGCAGGTCTACCATGGTGCTTTATCCTTGGCTGTCCATTCCAGTGAGCTGCCAGGATTTCAGGAATTTATTCAGGATAGAAAGCCTTCCAATGCAAAAGAAGATTATTTCATAAGGGACTTTTGGTCTTATGGTTTTGGCTGCACCTTCCCCAACTGGGTTTTGAACCATACAAACAGTGGTTTCTGCTCTGGACTAGAGAGACTGGAGAATGTTCCTGAAAAATATTTTGAAAAAAATATTTCTGGAAATAGCTACAGCATCTATAATGCTGTTTTTGCTGTGGCTCATGCTTTGCATGTCATGTATTCATCCCAATTCAAACACAAAAGAATGGTGGAGAAGGAGAGATGTACATGGGAGGTAATGTAAATTTGGAAAGTCCACTGCTGCTTTATTTTTAATGATGTAGGCATTAATACCATAAATATTCTTCTGTTTGTTGTTGTTAATTGCGAAGTCGTGTCCGACCCATCGTGACCCCATGGACAACGTTCCTCCAGGTCTTCCTGTCCTCTACCATCTTCTGGAATCCATTTAAGTTCTCACCTACTGCTTCAGTGACTCCATCCAGCCATCTCATTCTCTGTCGTCCTCTTCTTCTATTGCCCTCAGTCTTTCCCAGCATTAGGCCCTTCTCCAGTGAGTCCTTTCTTCTCATTAGGTGGCCAAAGTATTTGAGTTTCAACTTCAGGATCTGGCCTTCTAAAGAGCAGTCAGGGTTGATCTCTTCTAGGACTGACCGGTTTGAACGCCTTGCAGTCCAAGGGACTCGCAGGAGTCTTCTCCAGCACCATAGTTCAAAGGCCTCAATTCTTTTGCGCTCAGCGTTTCTTATGGTCCAACTTTCACAGCCATACATTGCAACTGGGAAAACCATGGCCTGGACTATATGCACTTTTGTTGGCAGGCTGATGTCTCTGTTTTTTATTATGCTGTCTAGATTTGCCATAGCTTTCCTCCCCAAGAGCAAGCGTCTTTTAATTTCTTGGCTGCAGTCCCCATCTGAGGTGATTTTGAGCCCAGAAAAATAAAATCTGTCACTACCTCCATTTCTTCCCCATCTATTTGCCAGGAATTGAGAGGGCCGGATGCCATGATTTTGGTTTTCTTAATGTTGAGTTTCAAGCTTACTTTTGCACTCTCCTTCTTCACCCGCATCAAGAGCCTCTTTAGTTCCTCTTCACTTTCTGCCATTAGAGTGGTATCATCTGCATATCTTAGGTTGTTGATATTTCTCCCGGCAATCTTAATTCCAACTTTTGATTCATCTAGCCCTGCCTTTCTCATGATGTGCTCTGCATATAAGTTAAATAGGCAGGGCGACAGTATACAGCCTTGCCGGACTCCTTTTCCAATTTTGAACCAATCAGTGGTTCCGTGTCCAGTTCTCACTGTTGCTTCTTGACCCGCATATAAGTTTCTCAAGAGACAAATGAGATGGTCTGGTACTCCCATCTCTTTAAGAACTTGCCACAATTTGTTGTGATCCACACAATCAAAGGCTTTTGCATAGTCAATGAAACAGAAGTAGATGTTTTTCTGGAACTCCCTAGCTTTCTCCATGATCCAGCGTATGTTGGCAATTTGATCTCTAGTTCCTCTGCCTCTTTGAAATCCTGCCTGTACTTCTGGTAGTTCTCGATCCACATACTGCTGGAGTCTAGCTTGTAGGATTTTAAGCATAACTTTACTAGCATGTGAAATGAGTGCAATGGTGCGATAGTTTGAACATTCTTTGGCATTGCCTTTCTTTGGAATTGGAATGTAAACTGACCTTTTCCAATCCTGTGGCCACTGTTGAGTTTTCCAAATTTGCTGGCAAATTGAGTGTAGCACTTTTACTGCATCGTCTTTTAAGATTTTGAATAGCTCAGCTGGAATACTATCACCTCCACTAGCTTTGTTGTTGCTCAGATTTTCTAAGGCCCATTTCACTTCACATTCTAGGATGTCTGGTTCGAGGTCAGTGACCATCTCATTGTGGTTATCTGGGATGTTAAGCTCATTCTTGTATAGTTCTTCTGTGTAGTTTTGCCATCTCTTCTTAATCTCTTCTGCCTCTGTTAGGTCCCTGCCATTTTGGTCCTTTATCATGCCCATCTTTGCATGAAACGTTCCCTTCATATCTCCAATTTTCTTGAAGAGATCTCTGGTCCTCCCTATTCTGTTGTTTTCTTCTATTTCTTTGCACTGTTCATTTAAGAAGGCATTCTTATCTCTTCTAGCTACTCTCTGGAATTCTGCATTCAATTGGGTGTATCTTTCTCTTTCTCCTTTGCCTTTCGCTTCCCTTCTTTCCTCAGCTATTTGCAAAGCTTTCTCAGACAGCCATTTTGCTTTCTTGCATTTCTTTTTCTTTGGGATGGTTTTAGTTGCTACCTCTTGTACAATGTTGCGAACTTCCATCCATAGTTCTTCAGGCACTCTGTCTATCAGATCTAATTCCTTAAATCTATTTGTCACCTCTACTGTATATTAATTAGGAATATGATTTAGTTCATACCTGAGTGGCCTAGTGCTTTTCCCTACTTTTTTTAATTTAAGCCTAAATTTTGCAATGAGAAGCTCATGATCTGAGCCACAGTCAGCTCCTGGTCTTGTTTTTACTGACTGTATACAGCTTCTCCATCTTTGGCTGCAGAGCACATAGTCAATCTGATTTCTATGTTGACCGTCTGGTGATGTCCATGTGTAGAGCCGTCTCTTGGGTTGTTGGAAAAGAGTGTTTGTTATAACCATCGTATTCTCTTGACGAAATTCTATCAGCCTGTGCCTGCTTCATTTTGTACTCCAAGGCCAAACTTGCCTGTTATTCCGGTTATCTTTTGGCTTCCTACCTTAGCATTCCAATCCCCCATGATCATAAGGACATCATTTTTTGGTGTTAATTCTATAAGGTGCTGTAGGGCTTCATAGAACCAGTCAATTTCATCCTCTTCAGCACCAGTGGTTGGGGCATAGATTTGGATATTGTGATATTGAATGGTTTGCCTTGGATTCGAATTGAGATCATTCTGTCATTTTGGGGATTGTATCCCAGTATTGCTTTTCCTATTCTTTTATTGACTATGAAGGCTACTCCATTTCTTCTGAGGGATTCTTGCCCACAGTAGTATACCTGATGGTCATCTGAGTTAAATTCACCCATTCCTGTCCATTTTAGTTCGCTGATTCCTAAGATGTCGATGTTCAGTCTTGTCATCTCTTTTTTGACTACGTCTAGCTTGCCTTGATTCATGGATCTTACATTCCAGGTTCCTATGGAGAAAAAATCTTTACAGCATCGGACTTTCCTTTCACCACCAGATATATCCACAGCTGAGCGTCCTTTCGGCTTTGGCCCAGTCGCTTCATTCTTTCTGGCGCTACTAGTACTAGCCCTCTGCTCTTCCCCAGTAGCATATTGGACACCTTCCGACCTGAGGGGCTCATCTTCCAGAGTCATATCTTTTTGCCTTTTAGTACTGTCCATGGGGTTTTCATGGCAAAGATACTGGAGTGGTTTGCCATTTCCTTCTCCAGTGGATCACATTTTGGCAGAACTCTCTGCTATGACCTGTTGGTCTTGGGTGGCCCTGCACAGCATAGCTCATAGCTTCATTGAGTTACACAAGCCCCTTCGCCACGACAAGGCAGTAATCCATAAAGGGGATTCTTCTGTTAGTAATGTTTTAAAGACAATCTTAAGTAGAAAGGGTTACTATGATTACAATAGAAGCATAGCCCGGTTTATTTTACTATCTATGTTTTCCAGTTGCTTCAAAAATAGAGAAATTTGAAAAATTGCAACCATTTTAATTTGGATTTGTACCTATAACTTTGTATCTCTCCACATAAATTCCTTGAGAAAACTATGGAAGGGAAAAAAAGTGAATTTTGATATTTATTTAACTGACAATAAAATTAGTTCCTACAATAAATCACTGAGGTCAATAATAGTGTTCAATAATATATTCACATCTCATTTTGTTGTTGTACTTAATTGCAAAGTCGTGTCCAACCCATTGCGATCCCATGGATAATGTTCCTCCAGGGCTTCCTGTCCTCTATCATCTTCTGGAGTCCATTTAAGTTCACGCCTACTGCTTCAGTGACTCCATCCAGCCACCTCATTCTCTTTCATCCCCTTCTTCTATTGCCCTCAATCTTTCCCAGCATTAGGCCTTGACTATACGCAATTTTGTTGGCAGGGTGATGTCTCTACTTTTTAGTATGTCTAGATTTGCCGTAGCTTTCCTCCCCAGGAGCAATTTTTTTAAATTTCTTGGCTGCAGTCCCCATCTGAGATCATCTTGGAGCCCAGGAAAATAAAATCTGTCACTACCCCATCTATTTGCCAGGAATTGAGAGGGCCGGATGCCATGATTTTGGTTTTCTTAATGTTGAGTTTCAAGTCAACCTTTGCACTCTCCTTCTTCACCCTCATCAAGAGGCTCTTTAGTTCCTCTTCACTTTCTGCCTATAGGGTGATATCATCTGCATATCTTAGGTTGTTGACATTTCTCCCAGCAATCTTAATTCCAACTTTTGAACTTTCATCTAGCCCTGTCTTTCTCATGATGTGCTCTGCATATAAGTTAAATAGGCAGGGTGACAGTATACAGCCTTGCTGGACTCCTTTCCCAATTTTGAACCAATCAGTGGTTCTGTATCCAGTTCTCACTGCTGCTTCTTGACCTGCATATAGGTTTCTCAAGCGACAAATAAGATGGTCTGGTACTCCCATCTCTTTAAGAACTTGCCACAATTTGTTGTGATCCACACTATCAAAGGTTTTAGCATAATCAATGAAATAGAAGTAGATGTTTTTTTGGGTACTCCCTAGCTTTCTCCATGATCCAGCATATGTTGGCAATTTGATCTCTAGTTCCTCTGCCTCTTCGAAATCCTCCCTGTACTTCTGGTAGTTCTTGATCACATACTGCTGGAGTCTAGCTTGTAGGATTTTAAGTATAACTTTACTAGTATGTGAAATGAGTGCAATGGTGCAATAGTTTGAACATTCTTTGGCATTGCCTTTCTTTGGAATTGGAATATAGACTGACCTTTTCCAATCCTGTGGCCACTGTTGAGTTTTCCAATTTTACTGGCAAAGTTAGTGTAGCACTTTTAATGCATAGTCTTTTAAGATTTTGAATAACTCAGCTGGAATACTGTCACCTCTATTAGCATTGTTGTTGCTCAGATTTCATAAGTCCCATTTCACTTCATATTATAGGATGTCTGGCTCGAAGTAAGTGACTACCCCATCGTGGTTATCAGGGATGCTAAGCTCATTCTTGTATAGTTTTTCTGCATATTTTTGCCACCTCTTCTTAATCTCTTCTGCCTCTGCATTTCTTTTTCTTTGGGATGGTTTTAGATGCTACCTCTTGTACAATGTTGCGAACCTCCATCCATAGTTCTTCAGACACTCTATCAGATCTAATTCCTTCAATCTGTTTGTCACCTCTACTGTATACTCTACATGTTCATCAGGAATATGATTTAGTTCATACCTGAGTGGCCTAGTGCTTTTCCCTACTTTCTTCAATTTAAGTCTAAATTTTGCAACAAGAAGCTCATGATCTGAGCCACAATCAGCTCCTGGTCTTGTTTTTACTGACTGTATAGAGCTTCTCCATCTTTGGCTGCAGAGCACATAGTCAATCTGATTTCTGTGTTGACCATCTGGTGATGTCCATGTGTAGAGCCGTCTCTTGGGTTGTTGGAAAGGAGTGTTTGTTATGACCATCTTATTCTCTTGACAAAATTCTATCAGCCTGTGCCCTGCTCCATTTTGTACTCCAAGGCCAACCTTGCCAGTTATTCCGGTTATCTTTTGGCTTCCTACTTTAGCATTCCAATCCCCCATGATGATAATGACATCATTTTTTGGTGTTAATTCTATAAGATACTGTAGGGCTTCATAGAACCGGTCAATTTCATCCTTTTCAGCACCAATGGTTGGGGCATATATTTGGACTACTGTGATATAGAATGCTTTGTCTTGGATTCGAACTTAGATCATTCTGTCATTTTGGGGATTGTGTCCCAATATTGCTTTTCCTATTCTTTTATTGACTATGAAGGCTACTCCATTTCTTCTGAGGGATTCTTGCCCACAGTAGTATACCTGATGGTCATCTGAGTTAAATTCCCCCATTCCTGTCCATTTTAGTTCGCTGATTCCTAAGATGTCGATGTTCAGTCTTGTCATCTCTTGTTTAACTACGTCTAGCTTGCGTTGATTCATGGATCTTACATTCCAGGTTCCTATGGAGAAAAGATCTTTACAGCATTGGACTTTCCTTTCACCACCAGATATATCCACAGTTGAGCTTTGGCCCAGTCACTTCATTCTTTCTGGCACTAGTAGTACTAGCCCTCTGCTCTTCCCCAGTAGCATATTGGACACATTCCGACCTGAGGGGTCATCATCCAGCGTCATATCTTTTTGCTTTTTAGTACTGTCCATGGGGTTTTCATGGCAAAGATACTGGAGTTGTTTGCCATTTCCTTCTCCAGTGGATCACATTTTATCAGAACTCTCTGCTATGACCTGTCGGTCTTGGGTGGCCCTGCATGGCATAGCTCATAGCTTCATTGAGTTATGCAAGCCCCTTTACCACGACAAGGCAATAATCCATAAAGGGACAACTCATTTTACCTCCTGTATTTATATTTCACAAAGAATCAATATTGAATAAAATCTGCACCTAGATTTTACACTCTAAAATCTATGAAAGTTCTCCATTATGAAGTTGTCAGCAAAAACTCTATAATTTTTGAGAATCATTTAAGTGACTTCTGAATGATAAAATTTATGTTTGGTCAGATGCCTTTGGACTGGAACTATCAACTCTCATCACTGGCCATGCTAGCTAAGGATAATGATTATCACTGCTCTTTCAGACATTTTTTTTTTAAAAAAAATTAAATTATCTCAGATATCACAAAATTCCATTGAATATGAAATGTTTGGGTTTGAGACTTATATTTGAAGGATCTTTTCTCAAGTAAAAGTACTTAGAGTACATATAGGCTTTTGAATTTGAGGATATTTTCACAAATATTCAGTTCCTTGTTCAGTTTATTAATCATTTATTTTTCTTTCCATCTAGCTCTTCCACTTTCTGAAACAAGTGTCTTTTAATAATACCATAGGAGACAAAGTTTCCTTTGACCAGCATGGTATGTTTCTAACAGCATTTGATGTCGTGAACTGGGTTTTGTTTCCAAACCACTCTTTTACTAGAGTAAAAGTTGGAATGATCAAGTCTCAACATCGAGGACATCAAAAAGTCATTATGAATGAAAAACCTATTGTATGGCACTATTGGTTTAACCAGGTAGTATATAAATACCAACCTTTGAGAAGTCACCCTATAGTATAATTAATAAAGGGGTGAGCCACCTCCTCCTCCACCTCCTCCTCCTCCTCCGCCTCCTCCTCCTCCTTTTTCTTTTTCTTTTTCTCCTGCTTGAGCAGGGGGTTGGACTAGAAGATCTCCAAAGCCCTTTCCAGCTTTATTCTGATTGAATCGATTGAGGCATACTTGTGGCACATTTGCCTGATCCCCTCAGACTCCTCCAATCATTCCTGTCTGAACTCCTGCAAGCCAAATCCTGGAAATTGTAAGTGTCTCTTTGACCACAAGATGTGATCCCAGGCACTTCAGGCCTATTGTAATTGCTTGTTTACATGTCTGCCTCTCTGAGGTCATTGCTTTTGGCTTTACAAATTGGACAGTGAAAGTGAACAGAATGATGCTTATTATCTGTTTTAGACTGCTCATCTCTAGTCTGAACATTACTGCATACTGCCATTTTAATGTCTTTCTAAAACTTGTGTGTGAGCAAGAAAGGTTTATCTAGCAGAAGAGAGAAATGGGGCTAGAATGTTCAGGTAATAGGATGGGAGTTCAAGGCTAAAATAAATACTGGACATACAAACATCCCTGTCATTTGCATCCCATAAATTGCATAGAGGAATCTTGAAATTGTCAGTTGTGTCTCCCTGGATGAACTCAAGTCACTCAGCCTGACCTATATCATGAGATTTATTGGGTTTTTTTGGGTGGGGAAAAATAGGAAGATGGAGAGCTGCAGGTACAGCTTTGAGCTCCAGATAAATGGCAGGATTTTAATAACTAAATAAGGAAGGAAAGGAAATCCTAAATAAAACTTGGGATTCAGGTCCCTTCATGACTCCTTTTTTTATTGAAAATTTTTACAGTTTTACAATAAAATAATCCCCCTCTCCCACCCCCCAACCCCCCCATCACCCACCCCCCTCATTCCCAGAGCTGAATACAGGGTTAATAAAAACTAGAAAAAAACCTTACAACTTAAATAAACATCAAACAATTATAAATACATTCAAAGAACAAAATTTTAAATACTTTAACTCCAATATATAAAAACAAAACAAAACAACAGTTCTAATCATTACCTTAAACATAAATTATTCAAAAGCTAAATAATACTTTCTAATCTCATATTTGTGCTTTATAAAATTCACCCGTTTTTTCCACACCATAAAATATTTCTCTTGTGATTGATCTTTCAAATAAGCCGAAATTTTTGCCATTTCAGATAAATAAGAAACTTTAAGAATCCATTCCTCTAAAATAGGCAAAAACTCCTTCTTCCAGTATTGCCCTATCAGCAGCCTTGCCATTGTAATTAAATTCAGTATTAAAATAATTTCTTTATCATCACAATCAACAATAATACCTAACAAAAACAATTGTGGTGTAAATTTTATCGTTCTATTAAAATTTTTTGGAATATTCCACCAAATCTTAATCCAAAAAGCCTTTATATTTTTACATGACCACCAAATATGATAGTACGTTGCATCCAAACAACCACATCTCCAACATTTAGGCTGCAGATTTGGATACATACATGACATCTTTTGCGGATCAAGGTGCCATCTATAAAACATTTTATAAAAATTTTCTCGTAAATTTTGAGCATGCGTAAATTTAACATTCCTCACCCAGATTATCTCCCATGTATCTAATAAAATTGGCTCTTCAAAATTTTGAGCCCATTTAACCATACAATCTTTAACTAATTCTGTTTCTGAATCCAATTCCACTAAAACACCATAAATTCTTTTTATATGAGTTCGACTTTGATCTTTACTCTTCATGACTCCTTTTGATAAATGACTCAATGGGATGTAAGTGTAAGAAAAGGAGCAAAGAAAGAGAAGAGTCAGAAGAGGCCTACAGCCAAAACCATCCTATTCTCGCTGAAATAGCACTGATAGATGTTTTCCCTTCTGGCTGGTAATCCCCAAAGTGGGAAGAACAACAAAGCGAGAGGATTTGAATCATCTTGCTTGTCACATCAGACAAATTAGGAAAACCCTATTCAGCATAGAAAGGGGCGTTGTCTTACCTGAACGCCTTTTCTCAGCATGATGATGGATAATCCATGGATGGATTGTCTTAATCTATCTGCTCCAATTAGACTAAGTCTGAAATTTAGTACCGCCCCCTCTGTGCCAACTGCACCCCAGTTTTAGGCTAAGGCGATACCCAGACTTTAGTCCGACGCGTCTGAACAAATGGGGACCAGGCCAACTGACCTAATGGGAGGGAGTGGATTCTCCATCATCATGCTGAGAAAAGGCGTTCAGGTAAGACAACGCCCCTTTCTCCAGCATGATTGGATGGAGAACCCACGGATGGGACATACCAAAGCCCTGTATCCCTAGGGTGGGGAATTAGATTGGGCCTGGTTCCCACCCAATGTTAATGCGTGTTCTAGGACCTTGCGGCCAAATGAAGCCGTAGAAGATGCATATATATCCATCTTGTAGTGACGGACAAAGGAGGAGGGCGATGCCCATGTTGCTGCCCTACAAACTTCCTCTATGGATGCCTGGGTAGACCAGGCTGCTGTAGTGGCTGCGCCCCTGGTGGACTGGGCCGTGATATGGCTGGGAGCTTGTAGTGACTGAGTCTGGTATGCCAGAGAAATACAAGCTCTAATCCACCTGCCTATAGTGGGTGAGGAAAACTTCTGTCCTAACGACGAAGAGTGAAATGACACAAACAGAGCCTCAGTCTTGCGGAAGGATGAGGTTCTCTGTATATAGCAATATAAGGCCCTGCGAACATCCAATCTGTTCCACTGAGCCTCTATGTCATTAGATGGGTTCGGACAGAAATCCAGCAAAACTATGTCCTGTGATCTATGATACAAGGAGTTGACCTTGGGCACGAAAGAGGGATCTAACCTGAGAGTAACCCTGTCCCTATGGAAGATACACAGGTCCTTTCTCACTGACAGGGCAGCCAGCTCAGAGATTCTTCTGGCTGAAGTTACAGCAACCAGAAATGCCACCTTCATTGATAATAGTTTGAGCAAACAAGTGTCAATTGGCTCAAAGGGTGGTGAGACAAGAGCCTGTAAAACCTGATGAAGGTTCCAGGAGGGGTATCTATGTACCGCTGGTGGTCTGGCATTGTTAGCTCCTTTTAGGAAGGAGCGTATCATAGGGTGCTGTGTTAAGGGTTCCTTGCCACAGGAAATAACTGTGGCGAGTGCTGCTACCTGCCTACGGATGGTGCTTGTGGAAAGCCCTTTGTCCAAACCGTCCATCAGGAACTCCAAGATAACTGGCACTGCAGCCTGTAAGGGTTCAATTTTGTGAGCTAAACACCAATTACAGAAGCTCTTCCACGTGGCATCGTATATTCTATTCGTCGAGGGTTGCCTGGATTGCTGGATCATGGCTATGACCCTTGACGAATATGAGTCTAGGCCTAAGGCCTGCCTCTCAAGTGCCAGACGGTTAACTGGAGCCATTGAGGGTCCGGATGATGTAACTCCCCCTGAATGAGGGAGATCCGATTGGCTGGAATCCTCCATGGAGGGGATGCGGAGAGCTTCATCAGGTCGGCGAACCAAGATCGTCTTGGCCATTGCGGGGCGACCAGGAGGACCTCTGCTTGTTCGCGAAGGATCTTCCTGATCGTGGCAGGTAGAAGGGGCAGGGGAGGAAAGGCATAGAGCAGTTCCCTGGGCCAGGGACTGCGGAGTGCATCTGTTCCTTCTGCTGATGGAGACGGGAACCTGGAAAGGAATCTGGGAAGCTGTGAGTTGACTGGGGAGGCAAACAGATCTAGGGTTGGGGAACCAAACCTGTCCACGATCTCTCTGAAGATCTTCGGATCCAGCTGCCATTCGGAATGGTCCACGGTGGCTCTGCTCAGTGAGTCCGCCTGCTGGTTGGCCACTCCGGATATGTGCTCCGCCCTGATGGAGGCAAGATTCAGTTCCGCCCAAGACCCCAGCAATCTGGCCTCCTGCATGAGAGGCTTGGACCTTGTTCCCCCCTGTCTGTTGATATGGGCCTTGGCTGTGATGTTGTCGGTTAAGACCAGGACGTGCTGGCCCTGTACTAAGCTGCTGAATCTCTTTAGGGCCATGTGTATGGCTCTTAGTTCCAGCCAGTTTATATTGTTCTTTAGATCTTGCCTGGACCACTGACCTTGGGCCCAGTGTGTGTGGAGGTGTGCCCCCCACCCAAATAGGCTTGCGTCTGTGGTGATGGTGATCCTGTCTGGCTCTTTGAATTCTGCTCCCCGTGACAGTGCCGGAGAGTCCCACCAATGAAGGGAGTTCAACACCGACCGTGGAACTCGGACCTTCTGGTGGGATGTGCTGGTATGAAGTCTCTGAAATGGAAGGAGAAGCCACTGTAATTCTCTGGCATGGAGACGTACCCATGGCACAATTTGCACGCAGGACACCATCTTCCCTAGTAGTTGTGAAAGGGATGCCAATGTGACTACTCTGTCCCTTTGGATCCGACGTACAAGAGTCTGGATAGAGTTCCGTCGGTCCTGAGATAGGTAGACCGTGCAGTTGCCTGTGTCTATAACTGCGCCCAAATGGAGGAGCCGAGTTGTTGGTACAGTATGACTTTTCTGGAAATTCACAGAAAAACCGTGCTCCTGCAAAACCTTGATGGCTAGGGCGAGGTCTGCTTGGGCACCTTGCCATGATGATGACTGAATTAGAATGTCATCTAGATAGCATTGAACTCTGATGGGATTTTGTCTAAGGTGGGCTGCAATCACTGCCAGTACCTTTGTAAATATTCTTGGTGCAGATGAGAGGCCAAATGGAAGAGCTCTGTACTGGTAGTGGCATCGGGCATAACTGAATCTGAGGAATTTGCGGTGTCCAGGAAAAATTGGGATGTGCAAATATGCCTCAGTCAGGTCTATGGAGGTAAGAAAGTCACCTTGCCTGACGCCAGCCAGGATTGATTGAAGTGATTGCATCTTAAATTTTTTATATCTCAAGTAGAGGTTTAGACCTT